TATTCACTTTAGCATAAATTGCATGAGCAGAAGAAGAGGCTTAAAACTAGGTTCCCACAGAGAAAATTCAAACAGATTAACATTACATTGTTTTGTAAAATAAGAATTTGTCAAATAGGAACTTCAGCACAATTTACCCTGGAAACAAAGTCAGCATGCTTAATTAATAGGCCCACTTGGTGCAAAGTCTGCCCAGCAAATCAGGTAATGCTTTTGCTCCCCTTTCGGTGAGGTATCAACAACTTAGAAGGCCACTAGGGGAAGGGCTTTACTCCACAAATCTGAGGCAGGTGGAGAAATTGGCATCTCCTCTTTCCCTGCCCCCTGCACCCCACACCCCGCCCATCCACCATGCACTGCCCACCAGAGAGAAGCCCCAAATCCAGGTGGCCCTCTTTGGGCAGCAACCAACCATACTTCTCCAGACAATTATGACTCAGTGCTCTCTTCTGTGCCAAAAGGCCTGGGATTCCCTTCATGTTGCTTCTTCCTTGAAAAGATGATGTGAAGTTGAAGCAATTTGTGATAACAAACATCTTGGGAGTTTTAGGTAAAAGGTGTTAAAACTCCAAAAGAGAAAAGCTCCAAAAGTTCCTGTCTTAAAGTGCTTGTTTATAAATAGGAAACTTTTTGAAAGAACTGATCATATATGAATGAATGAAGTCCATAGTTTAATTTCATCCATTTCCTTATATAAACCATATGTTGTTTTTTCAGGGACGGCAAATCTCATATTATTCTTGGGGCCGACTCTATATCCCATAAAGAGAACCATAAGCAAATATTTTCCGTTAAAAGGAAGATTCTCTGTCCATGCTATGGTTCACAGACATTTGAAGGGGATCTTCAACTGCTTCAGGTAAATATGAGCTGTTTTTTTTAAAGTGTATAAGCGTTTGAAATGTAGCAATTTGATCATTTTAACCTGAAACTAGAGGTTTAACACGCCCAGCCTCACAGCCAAGATTAGCTGATGCCTGGAGTATGGGGTAAGAAGCACAGCTGGGACCCAGCACTATGTTCCACAGATTTTTAGAATTCACTTCAGTTCGACAGTTGTTGACAAAAGTTCTATTGTGGTAGGACCTGGGAATCCAAAGAGCTGATGCCCAAAAATCAAAGATCACAAGGAACTCACTTATCATCAGACAAAGTTGGGTTTACTGATGGGTACACCATGAGGAACCATGGAGTGGTTCAGTAAGAAGGTGTTCCAGTATCAATGGTCATCATGTTGATTCTGACTCATGGAGATCCCATGTGTATCAGAGGAGATCTGTGCTGTTTAGGGTTTTCAATGGCTGACTTTTTGGAAGATCATCAGGCCTTTCTCCTATAGCACCTCTGCGTGGACTCAAACCTCCAACCTTTCAGTTACAGCCAAGAACTTTAACCATTTGCCCCACCCAAGAACTG